CCAGCATTCATCAAAATTTTTTTTATCTAATATTATTTGTGTGTTTCATCCTTGAAAATATTTGTTCTCAAATATACACACTGCCAAAAAACAATGACAAGAACAAGGCATGTGGCTGGTATGGCCATGGGCACTCACAGTCTCCTGGAAAGGGCGATTCTATGGGAGTATGAAGGGTAGGCTAGTGGTAACTTCAGAGGTCCAAGATGGCTCCTGGGAGAAGATTCTCCTCTGCAGATGCCACTAAAGCAGATGTGAGCTCCCACCAGGCAGAAACTGTATTCTTCATTGCTCTTTGTACCCCTCATAAAACCTCAAACAAATATGTGTTTGTTGACTTCAGTCTAATTAAAGAGCATAGGATTTCAGAGAGTCTTAACAGCAGTATACATAAGAAAAAGCTAGGAAACACTAGGTAACTCCGAAGTGCAATGTGTGTTGGCACATACAGCATCTCCTGTCTCTGTGTATTCCAGGGAGGGAGGAACAAACAGCTTTGTTTGCTCTAGGCCTGTCAGGTGCAGGGGATGGAGGAGGGGCAGAGAAGGAAGGGCAGGTGTGGCTGGAGCTGGGGCAGCCTGGGCAGGGGGAGGGGTTGTGGGGTTTCACCAGGGCAGCCCTCAGCCCTCACCTTCCAGCACAAGCTGGGTTTGACCTGAGGCCTGCTGGTATGAGCCTTCCACCTCAGCTCTGATGGAGAGAGAAAGGGAAGAGGGAGAAGGGGAGAGGGAGAAGAAGGGAAGGGGGAAGAAGGAAGAAGGGAAGGGAGGAGAGAAGGAAGGAAGGAAGGAAGGAAGGAAAGAAGGAAGCGAGGGAGGGAGAGAGGGAAGGAGGAAGTGGGTACTGAGACAGAGATCCTGCAAAAAGGCAGTGGAAAAGGAGAAACAAGGATTCATCATGAGTGTTGGGAGAAAGGGCAGCAAAGGGGCTTCTCAGTGAAAACTCCCTACTTTCTCAGTAGCTCTGAGATCTCAACTAGGGGTAAACTATTGGTGCTTCAATGCTTCCTCCCTCATCTAGAGGAGGAAACTTATTCTCTACTTATATGAGATACTCAAGTAATTTGTAAATATTACCTGTTATTATTACCATTTTTCCTTCTCTTTCCCAAGGCACTTGCATACTAATGGGTTTAGATGGAAGGGGAGTTCCCTTAGTGGGGACAGCAGACTGGGAAGCAGGAGGGAGGGTTGGTTGGGGCACAGCTGGCAAGCTCTTGGACACATTTATCCATTCTTTCTAAATATTTATACACTTTAAACTGGGTGTGGTGGGGCATGTCTATAATCCCAACACTCTGGAGGCTAAAGCAAGAGGATCGCTGCCAAGTTTGAGGCCAGTCTGAGCTACATAGAGAGTCCAAGGCCAGCCTGAACTGCATAGTAAGACTCTGTCTCAAAAAAAAAAGAGAGGGCTGGGGATGTATGTTGCTCAGTGCAAAGATCCTGGGTTCTGTCACCAGTACCACACGCATACACACCTATACCACACACACATATATGTGTGCATATTTTAAAATTTGAATCCTTGGCATTGTGTTGGGCCTTGATATAGCAGGTAACAAGGGCCCTATAAATTGTTACAAAGTGTTTTGGAAATTAATATGGTATAAAATATAAATTCATAATTTTCTGTCCATTAATTTTACTCATGGAACTTTTTATATAGAAATAAATGTACCATTGTACAATAATTTTATTTTTGTTTTTGTTTTTGTGGTACTGGGATGGATCCAGGACCTTTGCACTGAGCTACATTCTCAAACCTTTTTATTTTTATTTTGAAACAGGGTCTCACTAAGTCACTAAGTTAGCCAGGCTTGAATTTGCAATCCTGCCTCAGCCTCCCAGAGTGCTGGGATGACAGGCATGTGTCACCATTCCCAACTACAATAGATATTTAAAATAATGTCCATTACCAGGTCTGTTTGGATGAGCAGACACTGAAAAGAATAAATGCCCTTCAGCAGAAGGGTTAAATAAAGTATGTTCCACCTATACTGTGTAATACTATGTAGCCACAAAAAAGAACAAGTTAGCTCTAAGTCAATGGCTTAGAAGGATTTCCACAATTGAGGGGAAAAGAAAAACTGACTGTCCCAAGATGAGTGCCAAACATTGATTTCATCAGAAAATTCTGGGTTGCTTCTAGGCACTGGGGGTCTAGGGAATGCTTGTTCTCAGGTTTTCTTTTTTTCGGTACTGGGGACTGAACTTGGGTCCTTGCGCTTCCACAGCAGGCGGCGAAACCACTGAGCTAAATCCCCAGCCCTCAGGTTTTTGATAGTATAAAAGGTGCTATAATGTACATTATGTAGGAAATCTTAAAAAGAAACATTTTAACATTTTAGTAGTTACTGCAAATTATTTTCCATAAAATGAAACTAATTTATATGCTTAATTGTATCATATAAGAAAGCCTATTTCCCTACAATTTCACCAACACTGAATATTATGGATCTTTTTAATCTTGGGAGTCAATTTTTTTATTTTTAAAAAATTTTTATTAGTACACATCAAAAGTACATAATGTTCCTATTCCTTGTGTGGAGTTGGTGCAGGCACGTAACACATCTTAATTCTTTTTTCAGTCCCCCTTTCCTCCTTCTCTGCCCCCCTCTCCATCCTTAAAGAAAGAAGCCCACTAATAGAATGAAAAGGCAGGCCACAGAATAGAAGATGTTTGCTTCTATATTTCTGCAACAAAGGGCTAATTAAATTAGCTATATCTATCTATATTTAAGATTCATACATGGGCCAGGGATTTAGCTCAGTGGTTCTGGCACCTGCCTCACAAGTGCAAGGTCCTGAGTTCGATCCCTGGTACCAAAAAAAAAAGATTCATACAAATTAATGAAAAGATAATGAGCTAACACAAAAAGAAGCAAACCACTAGCAGGCACTTCAAACAAAAGCAATGTCCAAGTAGCTGCTAAGCACATGAAGAGACCTTACCATAAACAGTCTTCAGGCAAATACAAGCACATTAAACCCGGAAGGGGCTTTAAGTCAAAGCTGTAGTTAACTGGCTCTTGTTCTTAGTGCTGCCTCTGACCTAGGATCCCTGCTGGATACCAGTAATCTTGGACCTGGACTAGGCTACCCTTCATTCGGCCCCAGCCAATCTCAATTCCAGGTCCACTTGCAGGGCTGCATAGAAGGCCACAGCTGAAGAGGGAGCTGGGTTCCTCCAGCCTCCTGATGTGGGAGCAGAGGGGGCATATTTTTGTTCCAAACAGCCCATGCCTATGGAAAATGACAAGGAGCCGCCCTGGACCCGATTGAGTAGTTTTGGTGTTAGGTATGAATTTGGGAAGACAATGTGATGGGAGCCGGGAAGTCAGGAATCTTGGAGCCCACAATCACAGCCTAGTGCAGTTCTAAAAGTGTTGCATGTATAAATCAATTTAATCCTCCCTGAAACTCCAAGGAAGTTACTAGTATTGTCTTTTTTTTGGGGGGGGGGGACCAGGGATCGAACTTGGGTCCTTGCGCTTGCGCAGCAGGTGGCGAAACCACTGAGCTAAATCCCCGGCCCTAGTATTGTCTTTTTTAACAGGTAGGAAGCACAAATTGAACTGGTACCAGTGGCTCATGCCTTTAATCCTGGTAATTCTGGAAGGCTGAAGCAGGAGGATTGCAAGTTTGTAGCCCAGCCTGGCCATTTAGCAATTTAGTGAGACCCTCTCCAAATTTAAAAAAAAAACCCAAAACATTTTTTTTTAAATGGACTGGGAATGTAGGTCATCATGAAGGACCTGGGTTTAATCCTCAGCACTGGAAAAAAGAAAAGAAATTTAACCTTTAACTTTTTTTTTTTTTAAGGAAAACATTTATTAGGCTGGGGATTTAGCTCAGTGGTTCTGCCACCTGCCTTGAAAGCGCAAGGACCCGAGTTCGATCCCCAGTACCAAAAAAACCCAAAACATTTATTGGTACACTTTAGATATACACAATGATAACATTCATCATAGGGAATTTGTACCTGTACGTGATATATCTTGCTTCTTTTTTTCCCATTCTCCCCTTTGACCTCTCTTCCCCTCCTTATTTACAAAAGCTTTGTTTCCATTTTCTTTCTATTCTTTTTTTCTTGTTCCTTCTTTCCTCCCCCCCCCCTTGTTCCCCTTCTCATTTGAACATTTTCTTACCATTTCCCAATATCTGTTATACATTTTTGTCCTTATTTCCACTTTTGGTTTCTCACACCAGAGAAACAATGTGGTATTTAAACATGTGTGTCTGATTTATTTCACTTAAGAGTACTTTCCTATGGATGGGAAAGGGAAATTGTACTTTTGAAGTTGAATGTAATTTAATTAATGATTTTGAATATCTCAACAAATGTATTTAATTAAATATAAACTACATTCATTGTGGGGAAAAAAAGAGTATTGTAACCTTTAACTTGCCCAAGGGAAACTGCTAAAAGTACTGATTCTCTGTCTGTAAAACTGCTACACAAAACTGCCCTACACCCATAAAACCCAAAAGTTTGTAGGCAGTCAGCTCCTACTTGTTGGCAATGAGTTAGTATTTCTTTTTTGGGTTTTTTTTTGGGGGGGGGGTACCGGGGATCGAACTCCTGTCCTTACACTTGCAAGGCAAGCGGTGGAGCCACTGAGCTAAATCCCCGGTTCCAAGTTAGTATTTCTTAATCTGGAGCCATTGCAATGCCTACAAACTCTGTATATAAACCCTACATGTTTTTCCCTTTCTACTTTTTGGACATAGGAAATATTTTTCCAGTGGGGACCTGCGTGATGTGGGTACAGACCTGTAATCCCAGTACTTGGGAGGCTGAGGCAGGCGGGTTGCTTTGAGTTCCAGACCAGCCTGGGCTAAGAAATGAGACCCTCCCTAAAAAAAATGACTGCGATGATTTAAAAGAAATGAATGATCACAGCAGTGTATTCAAATATCTGGGGACAAGGTGGAAATTTTACTCCTCTCTCTCTCTCCTTCCCTCCCTCCCTCCCTCTCTCTCTCTCTCTCTCCCTCTCTAGACTACTCGATCTTCCTGCCTCAGCCACCGGATAGGGTGTGCATTTCTGAATGTGAGTAGGAAGGAGGGAGTAGAGACCCTGGTGCTGTGCCCACCTTGCCGCCCTGGGTGGGGGGTGCATCAAGCTTCCCCATCCGGACTCTGGAGGCCCCGCCCCGCCAGGTTTAAGAGCCAGCGGCCCGCAGGTGGGGCTGACTCCCCTCCGGCCGGGTCAGCGTACTGGCGCTTCCCACACATCCCAGGCTCCCTGCTCCCATCCTGCGCCGGTCGGGCTGTGGTCGCGCCATGCCCAGCCCCCGGCCGCGAGACAGCGAGCTGCCCGTTCCCCAGGGCGCCGGCCCCGCTTCCCCGGCACCCCTGCGCCTCGAGTCCTCCTTCTCCGTCGACGCCATCCTGGCGAGGCCGGGTCCCCGCGCGCGGGTCACTTCCCTGCCTCCCGTCTTCGCCTGTGCCCTGGCCCCGGGGCTCTGGTCCGCGCCCTGGCGGTTCCCCTGCCCGGCTCTGCCCTGGGCGTGCGCCGCCTCCTGGGCCCCCGCCCTGCTGAGCGTGGGGGCCCACGCGCGGCTCCAGCAGCACGCGGTCCCCCGGCTCCACGCGGCTCCCTTCGGCGGCCTCGCGGGCGTCGGCGTCACAGGTACGGCGGGGACCAGTGGGGCCAGGCCGGCGATGGAGCCCCGAGGCGAGACAGCGTCCTAGGAGGGAGGGCTCCGCTTCTGAGAGCCACGAGCGGCTGAAGTGGGAAGGGCCCTACGGCCTGGCAGTGGAAACTGAGGCACGGTCCCCCTGAGAAAGACCCCAGCTCGAGGCAGGGGAGCAGGGGCCTGGGCTGCGCAGCCAGCAATGGGGCCGCCAGAGGACTCCGCCCAGCTCGGGTGTCGGACCCCTGCCTTTCCACACCATCTTTGAGGGCAACTCTTGGAGGCCCAGACACTTACCCCAAACTGCTTTCATCCGGAATTCACGACCCTTTCTTTGCGGAGAGGTGGATGCTATGGGTGGTCCCGGCAAAGCACCAAGGCCCACTACTGTCGGCACAGCTCGGGTACCACACGGGGCCCGCGTGCTTGCGGCGCTCTTGGGACTGCACCTGACGAGCTCTATCTAGGGCACGGCACTGGGTACCTCTGTCCTGTAGCATTAATGTACAAAAGCTTTTGCCTTTTTTTTTTTTTTTTTTTTTTTGTACCAGGGATCAAACTCGGGACCTTCCACTTGCAAGGCAGGCACCAGAACCACTGAGCTAAATCCCCTGCCCAGCTTTTGCCATTTTGGTTTTTGTTTGTTTTGGTAGCGGGGATCGAACTCGGGTCCTTGCGCTTGCGCAGCAGGCGATGAAACCACTGAGCTAAATCCCCGGCCCAAGTTTTTGCCATTTTGGACTCCGTAATTCCTGCTTGCTTATGTTGCCATGAGGAAAAGAGGACCAAAGTTAGTTCGGAATTTAACTACCATACCAGGATCATCCTAACACTCTTGCCTGGTTCCTACTTCCGCCCTCCCTCTCCCCATCCTGCAGGTCCTCAACCCCGTTCAGCAGCGCACTAACCCCGGAATCCCACCGCCATCCAGATGCATACTCTTTACCTGGGAGCCGTGCCCACCTCTCCAAGTCACCCTTCTCTGAGCTCCTCACACACCCGGAGGCTGAATTGCAGTGTACTCATTTTTGTTCCAGTTGTCTCTCTCTCTCTCTCTCTCTCTTTTTTTGGTACTGGGTATGGAACTCGGGTCCTTGCACAGCGAAACCACTGAGCTAAATCCTCAGCCCTCCAATTGTCTCATTTTCAAGCTGGTTTTTGCATGGGTTTTACATCCACATAGTCTGAACTTCAAAATGTCTATTTACTAAGATATAAAGAGAAGTTTCCTTTCCCACCCGTGTCCCCTAGCCACCTACTCAGGGAGGTATTTTATGCATATTTAATACCTAAATAGGAACCTTATACATCTCTTCTTTCTTCACTTTCCCTGTGCATATCATACACACTGCACTTTATACTATTCACTTGACCATGTCTTAGAGATTGTTCCAGTCCATAAAGAGCTCCTTTTACAACCACAATGGAGTCCATTGTAAGAATGTAAGATAATCAATCAGACCCCATTGATTGCTTCCCATTTGCTCTTACAGTACACACAGTGCTTGCAACGGATAACCTGGCACACAGAATATGCCTGTATAGCCAGAATTGCTGGGTTAAAGCATGTATGTTTGTACAGTTTTGCCGGATTGTCCTCTACAGAGCTTGCACCCCCTCTGCACTTCCCCCAGCTTTGGGTAAGAATGGCCACTTTCCCCACAACCAACAGTGTTTCACCCAACTTTTGAAACAGACAATCTGATAGAAGAAAGAAACGGTACATTTTCTAGTATAAGTTAGATTGAACATTTTTCATATGTTGAGAATCATCTGTGTTTCCTTCTCTGTGAATTATGTCTGTGTACTTTGTTCATTTTTCTAGTTGGATGTTTAAAACAATTTCAGGCTGGAGATTTAGCTCAGTGGCACTCATGCCTTCCTCGCAAGCACAAGGTCCTGAGTTTGATCCCCAGTACCAAAAAAAAAAAACAATTTGTAGAAACTCTTTTTATATTGGGAAAATTAGCTCCTTGACTTAATAAGCTGCAAATATTTTTTCTCAGTTTATTGCCCTTTTGATTTTGATTACAAATATTTATTGTCATATAGAAAAAAATTTAATTTTCAGGTATTTGAATGTATTAATATTTTTTCCTTTCATTTGGTTACATTCTCAGCCCTTTTTATTTTTTAATTTTGAGACAATGTTTCCCTAAATTGCCTAGGCTGGCCTGGAACTTGAAATCCTCCTGCCTCAACCTCCAAGTAGCTGGGATTTGAAAGTATTAATCTTCTTTTTTTTTTTTTTTTTTTTGGTATTGGGGATTGAACTTGGGACCTTGTGCTTACAAGGTGGGCTGCAGAACCACTGAGCTAAATCCCCAGCCCAATATTAATCTTCTTATAAATGAATTCTATATCTCATATCAAGCTTGGAAAGATCTTTCCCACTCTAAGATGATAAAATAATCCTGTCCTGGTCTTGCCTAGATTTTTATAAGTATACTTTATTACATTTAAATACTTGCCTGATTTGGAATTTTTCTTTTCTTTCCTTTTAGTTTGCTTTTTGTTTTTTGTTTGTTCTACTGAGGATTGAACCCAGAGCCTTCATACTGAGCTACTTCTCCACCCACCCTCAACTCCCTTTATAAGACAAGATCTCCCTAAGTCACTAAATTGCCTGGGTTGGGCTTGAACTTGCAGTTTTGCTTCCTCAGCCTACTAGAATGCTGGGATTACAGGTGTGTGCCACCATGCCCTGCTTGAAATTCTTCTCAGTAGAAGGTATGAGGCATAGATCCAGTTTCTTTTTTTTTTTTTTTACACTACTGTTAGGAATTTATTGGGGGGTTTTTTGTTGGTTTTTTTTGGTACTGGAGATCGAACTCAGGACCTTGCTCTTGCAAGGCAGGCGCCGGAACTACTGAGCTAAATCCCCAGCCCTTAGGAATTTATTGTTTTTTAAGCAAAACATTTTGCTTAAAATGATACACATAATGATAACCCTCATCATAGGGAATTTGTACCTGTACGTGATATATACCACTTCTTTTTTTCCCCATTTTCCCCCTCCCCGCAAGTCCCCCTCCCGTCACTATACACATCCATTTTCTTCCTTCTATTTTTACTTTTTTTTCTTGTCCTTTCCATTTTCCCCAGATCTGGAATCCATCTGGAGAGAATTTGTCTCTTCCCCCACTGCATTGTTCCTTGGGTTGTTATAGGAGATATATTTTTTAATAATTTTTAAAGTTTTCCTGGTACATGTTTGCAATTGATGCAGTTTGCAATTATCTTGGGGAGTGGTTACACACACTATTGACTTTCTATTGACTTTCTTGCTCTGTGCTTGGGGTTTTTTTTGTTTTGTTTTGTTTTGTTTTTTGAGACAGAGTCTCACTATATAGTTCAGGCTGGCATTGAACTCACCATGTGGGCCAGGGATTTAGTTCAGTGGTTCTGCTCCCTGCCTCACAAGTGCAAGGTCCCAAGTTCGATCCCTGGTACCCCCCCAAAAAACCCACATGAACTCACCATGTAGCCCAGGCTGGCCTCGAATTCACAGTGATCCTCCTACTGATCCTCCTGCCTCAGCCTCCTGAGCCCTGAGATTATAGGCATGTGCCTCCTTATCTGTCTGGCATGTTTCTAAATCCTTGGGACATCTGGAGGTAGATGATAAGAAGTGATAGTATTGTCACCATTTTACACATGAGGAAATTAAGCCTCACAGAGGTATACAGACTGACTCCAGGGTCCCACAGGGAGCTGGTGTCAGAGCTAGGATTCCAAACACCAGCTCTTAACACACAATACAGCCTAATTTCTTTTCCAAGGCTTATAACCTCATCAGATTCTGAAACATGGCAGAAGAGACCAGGTACATCAGGCTGTATGCTTGTGGGGCTTTTCCTGGCCTTTTGGTCCTACTTCTGGCAGGCACATTGCAAGGCTGGTGGGCTCTGCTCCTTTCACTGGGGTGGTCTGACTGCCAGCTCTGAGGCCTCTCCAGTGCTAGGAGTCTCAGCAGTCTCAGTACTATACTTATCATTCATCTGTACAGCACGTTCCCCTCCCAGATAGCCCACTCCCTTGTCCCCTTCATATTCTGACTCAGGCACCGCCCCCTAACTGATACATCTCCACTGGTCCATAGCGTGGTGAACAAAAATGAACTTCTGTATCTCTTGGAGAAGAGCTTCTTTTCCTTCAAGCAGACACATCACCAAGAACTGGCCTGCAGAAAGTGGGCAGAATTTTATACCCCACTCACTTCTCAGCTGGGCACAGAGCACAAGCTGTACATAGTGATCCTGTTCAGATGCCACCACAGTAAGGTGGCTACCATGTCAGAAGACGAAAACCACCCACTTTCATGCAGCCACTCCCAATTTGTCCTCTCTTCTCTGCTTTTCCTTCCTTAGCACTTACTGCTCTATGACATACTAAGTGGCTTATGTCCCTTGTTTAATTTCTGTTTCCCTACTTCCAAGATGTAAGCTCCATGAAGACAGGGATTTCTGTTTTGTCCAGAAATCATACTTGACACATAACAGACATTCAAAAAGTGTCTGCTAAAAAAAAGTGTCTGCTGAATGAATGAAAAGGGTGATGCCCCCAAGGTTGCTAAGGAAAGACAGGAAGGCCAGGAAAGAGGAGGTTTGGAAACTCGTGTTAGGGGCCAGAACTCAAGCTACTCAGTTGGAGGGTAGTGGAGGCAGAGGGTGTCTCACAGCATTTTCCCTCTTTTCTCATTTGTTCAGTTTGGGTTATTTCTGTAGCCTTTTCCCACTGTGCCTTCTTATTGTTACCTGGCCAGGGGGACGCAGGGCAGTGGAGACATGTGCGGGTTCTCTCCTCCAAGATGGGTGGCAGGTGGCTGCTGGCTAACCTCCCTCTGATGGTTGCTCTTTAGGCTGGGAGTTGCCTCACTGCTCAGGCCTCTGGGCCCCCCCACACTGGGCCCCTCCTGAGGACCTTCAAGACACTGAGAGACACCAAAAGAGAGTTCGAACTATGTTTAACTTGGAGCAGCTGGAAGAGTTGGAGAAAGTGTTTGCAAAACAGCACAATCTGGTGGGAAAGAAGAGAGCCCAGCTGGCAGCCCGGCTCCACCTTACAGAGAACCAGGTGGGAGTAATGACTGCTGTGGGGCTGGGCTGAGCCTGGAGACAGATGCCTCTGGAAAGCCCTAAGTGAAGGTTGGGAGGGAGACACGGGCCTTCTTCCTGTGTGCCAGCTTTTTAGGAGAAAGGCCCTAACTTTAATAGTCCATTTGAAGTGACATAATGGGAATAACATGCAATATTCATCTAGAATTTTATGGTAAAGTCTTTCCATGCTAAATAAGGAGCAAAATTAAGTAGGTATCCAAGAGACTTTAAAAAAAATAACTATTCCCTTACCGCCTGCCAACCAAGAACTATGTAGCCCAGGCTATTCTCCAGCTATTGTGTCATTTTTCTGCTGCAGGCAAACTTCTCAATAATTTTCAACATTCACTCTATGTCCTCACCTCACATTCATTCCTTCACTCATTCCAGTAGACCAATTTCCCTCGAAATCCACCAAAACTTCTCAGCAAGCTGGGGCCAGGGATTTAGCTCAGTGGCTCTATTGCCTGCCTTGCAAGCACAAGGTCCTGAGTTCGATCCCCAGTACCGAAAAAAAGAAAATTCTCAGCAAGGTCTCCAGTGACCTTCATGTTGCCAAGGCTTTCCTTTCTTCAATGACATCACCCTGAAGCATCTCTCACTACAGCTGACCATCCCTTCCCTTCCAGAAATACATTCTCCTCTTGGCTTCCAGATACAGAAGTCGCTGGGTTTTCCTCCCACCTTTCTGGCACTTCTGATTCTTTTACAAGCTTCTTTCCTTTGGGATGGCAAACTCTCCAACTGGTCTCATCTATTCCCATGGTTTAACATAGCATCTCTAAGCCTGGCCTTCTCTGCTGATGTGACCCTAAGGCCTTCGCACTGAGATACACCCCCAACCCTTTTTTATTTTGAGACAAGGTCTTGCTAAATTGCCCAAGCTGGGCTTGAACTGGGATTATAGGGTTGCACCACCACCCTGGTTTATATGGCTCGTTTGTTGCCATCTCCCTCCACTTGACTCTTAGCTCCATGAGGGTAGGGACTGTGCCTGTTGCTCACCACTGTATCACCACCACCTAGGATGGTGTCTAGCACATCGTAGAAGCCTATGAAATAAACACTGTGGTGGATGAATAGTGATTGGGATTATAGGAAGGGGCCTTTTGGAGGGGTGCTTCCTGTAGCAAGAAGAGGAATATTTGGCCAGACAGCAAGGGGTAACCACTCTGGGTCGGGGGGAGTAGTGGGACTTGCTGGTCATGTGGTCATGTCTGCCCACTGTTTCTGGTGATAGGTGAGGATCTGGTTCCAAAACCGAAGGGTCAAGTATCAGAAGCAGCAAAAGCTTAAACTGCCAGCCCTGTCTGCTGTGGCTGCCTCCCCAGATGAGCCCTCCAGCAGCTCCGACAGCAGCATCCAGAGTGAAGATGCCCAGACAGGAGCAGACATCTGAGGATTGGGATGGAAGCCCTACTATCTGGGTTAGTTCTTCCTGGTGGCACCCATTGGACCCACCTGCCCTGCATTGCAATGAAGAGCCTCCTCAGGGTCAGAGGGCACCAGAGGAATTTGAACTGTCAAGCAGGGCTCCCTTTTCTATAGCAGCCTCTGGAAGCAGGAATGTACCTTTTTTTTTTTTTTCCAGTACTGGGGATCGAACTCAGGACCTTGCACTTGTGAGGCAGGAGTGGTGCCACTTCGCTAAATCCTTGGAATAATGTAATGGTCAGAGGCACAGACTTTGGCTGTCAGTTATGTCCTTGGCCAAGTTACTGAACTTCTGAGCCATTTTCCTTCATTTGTGTAAAGAGTGTATAGATAACATACTTCTCAGGGGCGAGATGATGTCTGTAAAGCACTCCCAATGTGCTAGGCCCAAAGTGTGCGGTAACTGTTAAGGCTTTTAGGGTCCCTCATTTGAGGGAGTGGTACCAACACCAGCCTTGACTTCCCAAGGATTAATCATCTTTTCCTGGCCTGCTATGGAGGAGAAAGGGCCTCACTCAATCAGTGGTTAGGTGTAGAAGAATCTTCCTCACCAGAGATGGTGGAGTTGAGAGCAAAGAAGAGGGAAAGGCAGATTGCTTCTCTTCACGGTGGTCTGAGGTTTTTTGATTTGTCTGAACTGTTACCACTCCCACAAGGAGCTCAGTTCCAACTGCCTCCTTGAGCAACATGCTGCCCTGACCCCCAGCTTTTTCTGTCCAGGTACCTGCCTCAACTTCCTCCTCGTCTTCATCTAGAATAGATAAATTTGAGTCCATGCTGTCAGAACATTGCTGTATTTTCACAAAATAGTTATGTTGCCTCCGTGTCACACCCCCTTATCCCCTACAAAATCCTGACTCGTGGCTGCCTTTCCTTCCCAGGAACCTGCTCAGTCTCTGGCTAGGGAGCCTGCTGATAACTTGCTGTGATGAAGCCAACAACCTCCATTTTCAGAGCTAATATTTAGACTATTCATTCTACAATGGCTGGGAGGGGGTGATGGGGGTGGAAGTTGGGGTGGAAGGAGGTCTGCCCTTCCTCCTGGTCCCTAGCTGCTCTCAGGGAGGGAGGAGGAAGAAAGGCAGGGAGCCAAGGAGGCCTTGGAAAACAACCTGCACCCAAGGGGGTGGATTCCTGGATATCGGGTAGCAGGCTTGAGGGGAGCCAGCATCCAGACTCAAGAATGCTTCTCTGTCCCTGTCTTCAGGGAAGTTCTTCCTAAGGCAGGACTCAAAGTCAGTTCTACTAATCAAAGGAATCCAGCTGCACCTGCCTGTTTCAGAAAAAGCTGGGCCACTTGTATTTTATTTTATTTTTTGTGGTACTGGCTATTGAACCCAGAGCCTTTACACTGAACTACATACTTAGCCCTTTTCATTTATCTTATTTTGTTTTTTAAATTTTGAGACAGGGTCTTGCTAAATTGCTTAGTTGTTCAGGCTAGGCTCCAATTGCCTCAGGCTTCAAGTGTTGAGATTTCAGGCATGTGCCACCACACTTGTTACTTTTTTTTTTTTTTTTTTAAATAAATAGATCAGTGCTTGCTTCTGCAACACTTATACTAAATCAAAAGGTCAGTTACCTACTAAACAATTACTGCCCAATCCCCAAAAGTCACCATGAGACCACAGGTTCCTTTTCAAGGAACACAGAATCAAATGAGGAGCAAGGAAAGAAAAGTATGGGGGTCAGGCCTAGCTGTAGGAACAAGTGCCATAGGCCAGTGGTTGGCAGCTTTTGGGGTCCCAAATGAGAGGACACACCTCTCTTTCGTTCTCTGATGCATTTGCACTTACACTCACTTCTGCGTCCAGTTGGAGGGGTCCTTAGACCTGACTGAGATCAACTCTGGACTTTTCCATCATCTTGGGGCTTCAAAGGTCCCCAAATCCCTGGAGAATCTGAGACACACACCTGTGCAGCTTGATCTTACCTAGGACAGTCTGCCCTGCTGCAGAGGGTTTTTTTGTTTTGTTTTTTGATTTTGCAGTACCAGGGGTCGAACTCAGGACCTTGCATTTGTGAGGCAGGGGAGGCACCACTGAGCTAAATCCCCAGCCCGAGAAGGGCAATCTTGCACCAGACTTTGAAGAAGGAGTAGGTGGGGTAATTGTACCCTAGAGTATAAGCTATTCCTACGGTTTAGTATGAGAGAGGGAACAGAAATAACTGCCTTTCGCTGTTCTCTCTGCTGGGTCCATAAACTGCTTTTCTCAATTAGCAAGCCACTTGGTGGACAGAGGCACAGTAGACACAAATGTGAATCCGGACTCAAATACATCAAAACTACACATACATAGACTCTGATACCAGCCACGCAGGCAGACAGCCACAAAACTGCACAGATGTGAGAGTACAAATGCAAGTCCAGCTACAGCTAGTCAAGGAACCAAGGAACCGAAATTCGAACTCGCCCGAGGGAAAATCCCCACCTTCGTGGAAACACTCGGCAAGGGGCGGGGCCTCAGGAGCGGAGCTTCCCGGGTCAGACGGGGTCAAGGGTCAGAAGGCGGAGGCTTGCCCAAGATGGCGGCCTTCATGTGCGAAGTTTTCTCCTTCTGCGTGGGCGTGGCGGGTTCGGGCCGGGTTGCCGTAGAAGTCCGATTCGTGAGCAGCGCAAAGGTGAGGCCAGGGTGCACCCCGTCCCTGGAGATAGCCCCAGAGATCCATGCCTAGAGACGCTTGTACCGCTTGACCCAGCCCCTGCTCGTGGTCAGGGGTTCCCTGTCTGTCTCGGTGCTCAGGCTCCTGAGGTGGTCACGGGGTGAATCCGAGTCTCCAGAGTCTCAGTGAGCTGCCCCTTCTAGCGGAACCTGGTCCTCCCGCCTGCGGCCTGCTGTGGCTGCCTTAGAAGGAGCTGGGTCTCTGAGCTTCTTGGGCCAGGCTGAAGGCATTGCTGCCGGGACCCGGGAGCGGTTAATGGGGACGTACTGGAGAGAGGGAAGTCAGTTATAAAAAAACCCTGGGTCCTCAGAGGCCTTTTTGTGTGAGATATGGGTGGTAGGATACGGAGAGATGAGGACCATATGAAGGGTCTTCAAGAGCTAAAGAATTTGAGCGAGAACCCAAATGCTGGGCGAGCATTTGAAGGGTTTTAAGCAGCAGAGTGATATGAATGTTCTTTTTATTATCATGTTTTAGAAGTTCCTTGTAGAAGAAAATATAAAATGTATCGAAGGAAACAAGATAAAAATCACTCATAATCCTGTGCTTGTGCAAATGTGTATGTATATTAAATCACATTTTTAGAAACTGCTCTTTGGATGCAACAGTGAATCTTTCAGTATCAACAAACCTATTTCAATATCAATAAACGTATTAAATTTTTGAAAAAATAAAAGTTTCATAATCAAATAAGATAATACACACCAAAAAAAAAAAAAGATAACAATACACATTATCTTAAAAGTAATTGCTCAGAGTAAAAGACAGAGGATGTGAAGGCGATCTGGCTGCAACATCTGTCACCCCATTCATTGCCAGAGTTGATTCGGCTGATCTGGCTGGGTGGGCGGGTGTCCTCTTCCTCCCTCGCTGCTCCATGTACATCTGTCCCCAAGTTGCATGCTCGTTGGGTCAAAGACAATGACGACCCCTGATTCCTCGGTTAAGGGTATATGAGTAGCTGTGCTCCTCTGCTAGAACCTCCAAACAGGCTCTCAAGAGTAAAAGACATAAACCGAAAAGATTCTTACAAAAAAGAAACATAATAACACAAAGCTTTCTTTTTAATGAACCAAGATAAACTAGTAGTATAGATGAAACCAATTAGCAAAAATATTGAAATATTTTTAAACAATGGAATTTGTAATTTGGGCAAGTATTTGAACTTCTCCCTACTTCCTGTTTATCTCTTCTATATTGCATTCTCTCATGCACACACAAATAGCTAGGATTGTATGTATGTATATAGTGTTTCTCATATAAGAGAAACCATGTGATATTTGAGCTGTGTCAGACTTTTGCTTAGCATTATGCTCTCAAATTTCATGTTACCTACAAACACCTTGTTTATCTTTCTTTATGTCAGTGTAGTACTCTATTGTGTATAAATACCACATTCTTTTTATCCATCAGCTGATGGACATACATATTATTTCCAAGATCTAGCTATTATAAATTGTGCTGCCATAAATATGGGTATGCATGGATCACTGTAATATGATGATTTTTCACTCTTTTGGGAAAGTACCTGAAAGGGGAATAGCTGGGTGAAGTGAAATTTCTATTTTTAGTTTTTTGAGGAATCTCCACACTGAGTTCCATAGAGGTTGTACTAGTTTACATTCCCACCAACAACGTAGAAGTGTTTCTTTTCCCCCACATCCTGGCTAGCTTTTGTTATTATTAGATTATTTGATGATAGCTATTCTTTCTGGGGTAAGATGGTATCTCAGTGTAGTTTTAATTTGCATTTCTCTGATGACAAGTGATGATGAACATTTTTTCATGTATTTATTGGCCATTTGTACTTCTTCAAGAAGTGTCTATTCATTTTGGTAGCCCATTTTTTTTATTGAGTCTTTTGGGGAATCTAATTTATTTTAGTTCTTTATATATTTTTGTTTTGTTTTGTTTTTTGAGACAGGGTCTTGCTATGTAGTGCAGGCTGGCCTTGAACTCACTATGTAGCCTTGGTTGTCCTTGAACTCTTGGGCTGCCTGATCCTCCGGAGTGCTGGGATTTTAAGCATGTGCTACTACACTTGGTTAGTTCTTTTTTTTGGTACCGGGGATCGAACTCCAGACCTTGCGTTTGTGAGGCAGGCGGCGGCACCACTGAGCTAAATCCCCGCCCCGATTAGTTCATTATATATCCGTGCTGTTAGTCCTCTGTCCATGGAATAGCTGGCAAAAATTTTTCTCATTCTGTAGATTGTCTCTTCACTCTGTTGGTTGTCTGTTCACTGTGTCGGTTGTTTCCTTTGTTGTACAGGAGTTTTTAAATTTGATATGACCTCATTTGTTGATTCTCAGTGTTATTTCTTGTGCCATTGGGATTCTGTTCAGAAAGTCCTTGCCTACACCTGTCTTCAAGAGTTGTACCTGTTTTGGGCTGGGGATGTAGCTCAGCGGTGCCACACCTGCCTGGCAAGCGCAAGGTGCTTAGTTGGATCCCTGGTACCAGAGTTGTACCTATTTTGTCTTCCAGTAGATTAAATGTTCTTTTTTGGGGGGGGGTACCGGGGGTTGAACTCGGGTCCTTGCGCTTGCGAGGCAGGCAGCGGAACCACTGAGCTAAATTCCCAGCCCTCTACTACATGTTAATTTTTAAAGAGTTGAGTAGTAGTTCTTTTCATGGGAGGGCCATAGTTCTTCAGCCAAACTCTTTGTTTATGGATCCTTTATATTGTATCTTACTCATTCCTGGAATCAAAGGTCTTGGAGCATATGGCCACATTTCATCAGCCAAACTCTTTGTTTATGGATCCTTTATGGTGTATCTTACTCATTCCTGGGATCAAAGGTCTAGGCGCATACGTTCCGTGCAGATACCCTATGTTCACTCTGGCATAATTTTCTTTCCCAGTTATCTTTTGCACTTGGGAGGCTGGGGCAGGAGGATTGCCACAAGTTTGAGGGCAGCCTGGGCTACCTAGACCCTGTTTCAAAATACAAATAAATAAATAAATAAATAAGCAGACAGACAAACAAACCTCCTAAGTGCTGGGATTACAGACAAGTGCTACCATGCCTGGCTTCGATGTAGTGCATTTTAAAATCTTGATTAAGTGATTTTCTAGAAAAATATAAATGACCAAAATAACTCAAAAGGAAAAAAGGTCGGACAGTAATAAGCCAGGCTGAGATCTGGCTAGTGTACACCAGAATGGCATTCTAGCTAGCATCCACAGCAGACTACATGGAGCTCGGCATGGTTGCACACCTGTAATCACAGCACTCTGGAAGGCTGAGGCTGGAGGATCACAAGTTTGGGCCTAGCCCAAGCAACTTAGTGACTTAATGAAATCCTCTTTGGAAATAAAAAATGAAAGGCTGGGAATGTAGTTCAGTGTGAAGGATTTTGAGTTCAATCCCCAGTGTCACAGAAGTTAGAGTTTTACATAGTTTTTTTTTAAAACTTTTTTTTGGTCAAACTAGAAATATGTTTGTATGGCTCTTCTCCTTTCAGTGCTCTCCACCCCCCCCCCTTTTTTTTTTTGAGACAAAGTCTCCCTTGTAGCGCAGGCTGGCCTCAAACTCACAGCCATCCTCCTGCCTCAGCCTCTCAAGCACTGGGATTATAGGCCTGTGCCACCACTCCCAG